GAAACCATCGTTGTGCGGTGGAAATGGAAACTGTATCGGGTCCATAAACTGCACAAATTTTATTGGCGGCTTGAGATGCATTTTTGCCTTTATCGTAACAACGATAATCAAGCAAACTTTCCAAAAAGGTATAGCATGACCCGATGCGACGAATAAAACTAGAACTACGCGCTCTCAGCGCCAACTAGCGAAAATACCGCAAGACTTTTGTTTTAAACTTATGCCCTCTTGGGCATAGTTCGCATGACGTAAGTTTTCGTTTTTCAGTTATTAACGATTGTGTTTTGTTTCAATTGCCTTTGCTTCTAGCTTGGAGTCTATTTAAACTTATATTGAGGTCGAGTGGAATATTTTTTGTTCTAACAATTTTTTCTTCTACTCTTTCCGCAATTTCATATTAGGTAGTCAGAAAATCTTTCACTTGTTGCTACGTTGGGCATTTTTTTGGTGATGAGAGCAATTGCTCCCACAAAAGGAACGATTTTTTTGGTAATGCCTCCGTACATATATYTACCAGAATAGGGTCCCAGCTATCTGTGGGGATGTTTTGTGTCGATAGAACTGACAAACAATTTGAAAAAGTGGATTCTAATTTAATGAAAGGCAAGTTCATTAGTGTCAGCATTTCTTTATCGACCAGTATTCCTCCCTTTTCGTATCTAGCTTTTAGACCTTAACAAGCCAATTTGAAATTATCGTCATTAAGAACGAACTGTTTAACTATTGTGCCTGCATGAACTTTAGTTTTGTATTAGAGGCGATACAATTGTTGATACTTTGGGTGGTTGACCAGTCCAATAGTTGTTAAGACCTTCTCTTTTCATTTCTAACAACGATTCAAAGCTTTCTTGAATCGGTGAGTAGAAAAATCTAGTGCAGTAATAAACTGTCATTTTCTGAAATAAATTTAGCAACTTATTTTGGGCGTGTAGCCTGTATCTGTATATATAAAATACACTTTTCCCAGTGTAAACCGTATACTCATTTTGTTTATGCGACATCTGGTCTTGCGATATTTTGCTACTTCGCACACATCCTCCTCGCAGCACTTATCGCACAAAACCAACATACAAAATACCAAAAGTCACACAACCCAATGCAACACAACATATCATCCACACAATCACAGCTACACCAACTCTTCGTTTTTTTTTTCACCACCCACAAAAGGATTTGCCAGATCGAAATCGGCGCTTTTCCGTTTTTCCCATGACCTCGATAGTTTCGACATCGGTACGTCCGACGAAGCACCGTGGCGTAATATTAGTGAAATAAATAACTTTAAAATTGATTAAGTTAAGATAAGCGCAAGTGTAAGTGAGTATATCACCGCCATCAGGGTGACCAAACGAATACAACTAAACACCTTTAAATAAATAAGAGTTTATTTTAAATAAAACGGATTCCTTATTATACTCTCGCAACAAAGTTGCTAAGGAGAGTATTATAGTTTTGTTCACATAACGGTTGTTTGCAAGTGCTTAAACTAAAAGAGTCAGGTATAGGGTTATATATAGCAAGGTGATCAGGGTGACAAGTATAGTTGAAATCCGGTTGTCTGTCTGTCCGTCCGTCCGTCCGTGCAAGCTGTAACTTGAGAAAAAATTGAGATATGATGATGACGAAACTTGGTACACGTATGTCTTGGCTCCATAAGAAGGTTAAGTTCGAAGATGGGCAAAATCGGCCCACTACCACGCCCACAAAATGGGGAAAACCGAAAACCTATAAAGTGTCATAACTAAGCCATAAATAAAGATATTAAAGTGAAATTTGGCACAAAGGATCGCATTAGGGAAGGATATATTTATACGTAATTTTTTCGAAAAAGTGGGCGTGGCCCCGCCCCCTACTAACTTTTTTGTACATATCTCGAAAACTATTATAGGTATGTCAACCAAACTCAATAGAGTCGTTTCGTTCAGGCATTTTCATATGCAGTTCAAAAATTAAAGAAATCGGATAATAACCAGGTCCACCTCCCATACAAAGGTTATGTTGAAAATCCCTAAAGGTGTGTTAACCGACTAAAAAAAAGTCAGAAACACTAAATTTTACGGATGAAATGGCAGAAGGAAACTGCACCCAGGCTTTTTTTTTAAATTGAAAATGGGCGTGGCGTCGCCCACTTATAGACAAAAACCATATCTCAGGAAGTACTCGACCGATTTCAATCAAATTCTGTATATAATGGGTCTCATGCGTATGACGGAAAACAACATTATAAAAAAAATAGCAAACATGAAATGTCGAGTTAAAAATAAAATAGACATAAATTAAACAGGCAATAAAAAGATTATTTTAAAAAACATATTTTTATACATATGCACATATTTTAATAGTATTTTTATTCGTATAGTGAATTAACTTTTATTTTATTTTTGTAAAAAAACGTGAACTCTATTTATAATTGTTTTTGTAAACCAAAAAATATAAAATAAACATATTCATTTACATATATAATATTCATTTATTTCATTTTTAGTACAAACTAATTTGATAATAAATTTGCGAGCATCCTCCTTTTGTTTTTTCCCGCTTCTGAAATTCTTTCTGTTTGTTGTTCGATATAATTTCCTAATTGCCATACATCATTATTGTTGTAATCGTCAATGATTAGGATGTAATCGTCCTTTAAAAATTTAGCTATGTTACGTAAAATGAAACAACTGGCTAATACGTGATACGTCGATACACGAATTTTGTATTGAAGTATCGAAAATCTTTGCTTCAATTGTCCAAAACACCGTTCTATAATGACACGTTACTTTGTAAACACTTTGTTGAACTTTTTTTCTACTTCAGTTGTTGGGTTTCGGAATGGTGCCATTAGCCATGGACATATTCCATAGCCCTCAACACCGAGAAATAATGCATCGTTCGTTGCATTTTGCATTATCCTACATACCTCGCTGTTTCGTAAG